CAATAGACGTGTAAGCTGCTAAGGCCCGCCCACCCGTCAAAACAGTACCAAAAGTCAGAAACAAAAAAGCATTCCAAAAGCAAAAAAAACATCAAAAGCAAAGAAAAACATTCCAGAAGCAAAACAAATTAGAGAAGAAGAATGGAAAAAATGATTTTATTTGACTTTTTTGATATTTGGAAAACATTTTCATTCTGATACTTAATGATTTGCTTGCAGTTTTCAAATTTTTGGTTAATACTTTTGGCACAAAATTAACTCCATACACAGTTTGAAATACCTAGTTCAGGTGCGGCCATTGCCAAGACAATTAATAAATCCCCAGTAGTCCGGGCTCCCGCAACAAAGTCACAAGGATACGAGCGAAAAAGTAAGCATTCACCCCGCAATACCTGAACCCCTCCTGATCCCCATATGACAAATAGATGTTTTTTTGCCATGTTGCCAAAGATTTTGAAATGGTAGTCCGCCTCCGAGAAATGTTACCAGTGAAAGCAGTGTGGGGTGGCATGGTGGTGCAGTGGTTAGCACTGTTATCTCACACCTCCGGGACCCAGGTTCGAGTCTCGGCCTGGGTTACGTGTGTAGAGTTTGCGTGTTCTCCCCATGTTGTCGTGGGGGTTTTCTCTGGGTACTCTATTTTCCCTCCCATAGTCCAAAGACATGCTGAGGATAATTGGGGTTATTAAATTGGCCATATGTGTGAGTGAATGGTGTGTGAGTATGACCTGCGCTGGCCTGGTCCCCCTATCCCGGGTTGTTCCCTGCCTCGTGCCTGTAGCTTCCAGGATAAGCTCTGGACCCCCCGTGACCCAGAAGGATAAGTGGTTTGGAAAATGGATGGAAACAATGTGCTTTAATTAGGGTTTCTTTTAGGCCAGTGATTCTCAACCCAAGGGTCACAGGACACGGCAAGTTCTGAAAGGGTTTTGAGGCAGAGTTGGAAATGTAAGCATTTTAAAACCAGCAAGCTTATATGCTGATCCATGATCCGATTTCCCAGCTCAAATCCTCGAATTAACCTCTATAAAGAGGTCTCGGAACTGCAAATGCTTAGCACAAAATTAGTGAACACTCAGCCAATCCAAGAAGCCAAACCACAGATGCTTAATTAAAAATTCTGTGGTACATCCAATCAGATTTGTGTGATAGGCATTGATTGGCATACATTGCAGAGTGCACTGTGTGCTTGATCATATCCTTAACTCAAACCTATACGTGGTATAGGGTCGTGACTGAGCTGGCATAGTGAGAATTTGGTTGCGGTGCAAAAAAGGTTGAGAACCATTGTTTTAGGCTATGTGTGAACTATTTCATTTATTAAAATGTAGCCATTCACTCAGGGCCAGTCTTTTAACCTGCACCTTAACGTAGACGGGGAATCAGCAACTCATGAGGCTGCAGCTGAATACGTACGACACACAGACGGGGTCAGTAGTAGTGTGCTGTGGTTGCTGTGTGGTTCACTTGGTTAGGTCATTGTGCCTGTGATCGGATTGGTTTGAAACCTGTGTTTGGCGGAGTAGCTACATCACCGCTGAGCCCATAACTGACTAAAAATGTTGCTGGGGTGCTGGACGAATGGCCGACCTTGTTTTTTCACTTCTGTTTATGTGTGTATGCCTTAAAGAAAATGGAGAGTAAGATGGGACATGCGAAAAGAGACGTTACACTGTACTTGTGCAAATCAAAAACTTCATTTTAAGAGCAGACTCTTATAAAGGAACAACTTCCTTTATCCTTGAAGCATTTATGCAAGCTAATGAAATGGTTCACACCCAATACAGCCTGACTTCTGAGTATATGTATTGCTTTGTATTGAAATGTCATATACAGTGACATAGGGTATAAGTAAAAAGTATAGAACATAAATTACATTTATACTAATGTATTGCATTTTTATGTGCGTTGTGTTGCCTTGATGCTGCAGTACTGCACTGTCCCAAGCTGCACCACCGCCCTGCCCCCAGGCCTCTTCCAACAACACTGTTATACTAGGGGGGACTCTGTAGCACAAGATTCTCATTGTATTCCCTGAAAACACATGATAATAAAACTGGAAACCAGCCTGTTTTCTCTAAGAGGAGAAGATGAAGGTGTTTCCTACACAAAACGCTCACTGTTCCAAAAGCTACAGAACTGTACTAACATCGATTATCAGTCTAATTCACTTCGTGATTCTATTTGTCTTCTGGTTGTCTGACCTTTAGTTGTTCTTTATAATAGAAGCCTCACATTGAGCTACAGGAAATGGAGTCTAATGGGATGTCCTTTAGTGATTTGTGTGTTCACTCACCCCTGAATTCTGAGCGAGATGGTACATTCCACTCTGGTCCTGGTTATGCAACAGTAACGGTAATCTGGGAGCAGAGCTCATCAGAGCTCTGAAACCTTCCAGCCGGCCATTTCCACAATGAATCCTTTTCTGTGAAAATGTGGTGTTGTAGATGCTTGTGAAGGTTGTAAAGGACCTCTGGTAGATCAAGTCTTTAAGGAAAAGCGTACCCATGTACTTCTTAGGGCATATTCAGTTTGCTTTGCATTTTCAGTCATTTTTGTTCTCTTTTTATAGTCCCTTGTTGAGTTTTGAGAGCCTGCAACTGAAAAAGCATAGTAATTAGAAATTATTCGAATGTATGTAAAGTGTAATTAGAGTTCCTCTGAGCCAGGCTGAAGATGGATGGGAATTAACACAGTCCCGTTGCTCATTTCAACATGTGTGTAACTAACACTAAAGGTTGCATATATATGTGTATGATGAGCTGTGCCTATGCGCTGTGCTGCAGCTAACTGCCAGACTTTGGTCAAATTATATAACACCAGCATTAACCCCCCTCCTCCCCCCCATAGCATTCACATGTACCACAAACTCACAGTCAGCAGGGGGCGTGACAGTTAAAGACAGGCACTCGTAATATGAAGGTTGCCAGTTTGATTGTTGAACTCTTCAGAAAGGCATTCAACCTCCATTCCTCCAGCAAGATGTCTCCCCAAGATTAAATGGATACATTTCCATATAAAGGCATCAATTAGTAACCTGTAAACAGTACGTTCAGTTTGTGAATTGCTTTTAAATATGTTCATATTTCTCACTCCTAACTTGTTTTGGAAAATTATGATATGCATAATTTTTTGGAGTAATAAAATTAAATTTCAAGTTTTATATCAATACTTTCACATTGCAAGTTTTCTCACACACACAAGCATACACTGTACTACTGTGTAGTGAAATGCTTCCCCACCTGCTTGTGCTAAAGAAACTATGTAATACAAAAGGAAACAAAATAAAAATAAGAATAAAATAACAATCAAAATAAAATGCAAAAGAGACAGTAAAAATAAAAATAGACACTAAAACTCGAGAGTTGTATAGGGTTTATAATGTCGGTGTTGCATTGTAGCTGCCAACCAAAGCCTTTATTTTGGTCCTATCACCTCCAAGGCTTTATTTACCTTCAGACTGCTGACAAGGATGTGCTGTGGGCACCAACACGCACAGAAAAATGATACTTAATCACAGGTTTTAGTGCAGACTTGTGACATGTAACAAGACTAGACACCATAACGCAAAGCAAAGGCACTCACAGAACATCAAAGTAGCCATACCCTGTAACTAGGACCTGCCAAGGTGCTTGTTTATTGGAATACATATCAAATTAACGAAATTGCTTAAATGGGTAATATGGCAGTGAAGTGCAATGTGCACAGTATTGCATTTTCCTTGCTCTACCTGACAGGGCCTGCAGATGACAGGGCCTGCTCCGTATTACATTATTCAGCAGGTCCCTCCGCTCTGTTCTGCTGGGTCATTTCCCTTCATTAATGGGAAATCAGTTAAAATCAGTCTGTGTTTCAAGTTGTGGCAGGATGATAGATCACAGAGCCAATATTAACATCTATTTTCTTGTTGTGTCGCAAGACCTTACTTGAGCTTATAGAAGATGGGTTGTCTTGGGTCTCTACCCCAAAAAAGGCTCAATTTTATCGCTTCAAACTAGAAAATATTTTATCACTTCTTTATAGTAGGGTTTTCTTGGGAAGTCTATCCAAAATGAGTTGATCTTTTTCAGCAATGGCTTCTGTCTAACCGTGTAATACCATGTGATGGTACATATCAACTTCACACACAGAAAAGGCCGCTGATTCCTGCATAAACACTGCATGACCCCATTCACATTTGAAGAGAGCATTCAATGAATTTTCTAAAACTTGCCATTTGATCTGACCTAGGAGAGGCAAGGCCATGAAAAGGAGATTTACACATTGCCAAAAATGACATAAATGAGCATATGAATTCCGTTACCAGTTTGGTATAAATTATGCAGATTGTAAACATAGGGATTCTGGGAAGTGTTATCATTGCTGATACCAACAAAATTGTGTTTTTTTTAGAAAGATTTCATTTTAAACTTTTTGAGGAACTTGAACATTTTTATCTGATGCTATTTTAACTGCTCAGATGCCTGTACACACCAGGGCACTCCTGGGGAGATGACTTTGCTAATAATAGGTTTAGAGCACCCCACAAGCATGTATGCCCCCCCCGCCACCCCTCTCAGCCTCATCATAGCACAGACTTCAGTTCTAAATCGATAAGATGTGGTGTGCAAGTCTTCACCAGCAAAGTGTTACCCAGTGCCTTCACACAGTAACCAACGAATTACAAACAAGACTGGCTGCAACAGTTAATGATTTACAACCCACCTACAGTCATTCTAGATATTTAGTTCATATCTGTAAATTATATCGATATTTCTTCAATGCACTGGTATATCATCCAGGTTGAAATATTGCCTTGTGCACTGTACTGCCTGGGATAGGTTCCAGGCGTTCCCCCACGATCCCAACCAGGGTAAGCACTTGGAAAATGGATGTTGACATTTGAGGGAATACTTGTATGGTTAAAAATTTGTGCTAAAGGTGCAAGATGATCATCAGGGCTTACAAAATGTTAGTTTTCTGACACAGCTTGTGTGGCTGTTTATCATTTTTTGGTGCAGGAACGAATTCAAAGCCTACACAGACGTCAAGCCAGTCAAGGCCATCCGAGCTAAGTCCCAGTACCAACCGCCTGATGAGAAGACCAGCCTGGAGACCAGCTATAGTGCTACCTACAGGGGTGAGCAAGGCCTATACCAGTCATCAGACAACAAGGCCCTGGAGCGCAGGAGGATACGTAGTCTGTACAGTGAACCCTACAGGGAGCCCAGTAAGGTAAGATAGGCCATGATTTTGGTGCCACCGTTTCTGCTGGTTTGAACCCAGGACAGTGTTTCTCAATGCATTTCTCAGGGACCCTAGACAGTCCACATTTTTGCTCCCTTCCAGCTCCAACACACCTCTATCAGGTATTCGGTGTTCCTGATTGGTTGACTCAGGTGGGCTGGGAGCTGGGAGGGAGCAAAAACATGGACTGGCTGTGGATCCCTGAGGACTGGGTTTAGAAATGCTTGCCTCAGGCACTCAGAATGTTACCGTTCTGTAGTCTGGAAACCAAAATTCCTCTTCTCTCACAAATTGTACAGGTACAACAATATGAAAGTTCAACTTCCTCTAATATGATAACAGTTGTTATTTGTTCTTAGCTGATGATTCTACCCAAAAGGCATATGTGGTTTTGCTCGCTGATACTGCTGGATACTTTTCTGAGCAGCTGAGTTGCCCCAGGAACTCAAGACCCTCTTGGGACTTAAACCAACAACCTTCAGAGTGTAATTCAGTATTCATGCATAGTTCCTGCCTACATGCTGTCTCACCTATTTTCCTCAGAAGATACATGGACTCGCCAGTCACAGGTAGTGACTAAAAATATATTCCTTATCCTGACTAAATTGATATTAGATGCTGTGAAGCTCATGTTCATTTCATATTAATCACAGAATTAAACAGAGAGTGTTAGTACTGTAGGTGAAATATTACTCTTGTGGCTTTTTGAAAGGCAGTTTGGAAAAAGTTAGCTGTACAAATAAAAATACTGTGAGATAACTTGTGAATCCTAATGCTGACAGTATTTTCAGTTTTTTTGGAACAACCCCATCAAAATGAAGATAGTTCCCACCATGCAGGCACACAACAGATGTGTACGCATCATCTGAAATTGAATAGTCATAAATATCACCCTGAGGCAGCAAAACTGTCAGTTCTCACTTTTTTACAATCCGAACCGAAATGCTTGGATATGTTGTTGTGATCCTCGTTTTACTGCAGTCTGAGTCGTCCTGTGACTTTCACTTGGACTTTCATTGGTGTTTGTGGTATTAATCTGTTTATAACTCTGATGGGACATTTGTTCACATAGCTATATTTAAGTTGTGCTGGGACAGCATAATGTACTTCACTGCTCGCTCAGCTACAGTTGTAGTTTAGTCATGGATATGGAAATACGTAAGTATGCATAGTTCTTACGTTTGGTTCGCAAATGTCGTGCGTAACTAATCTAAATTCAAGGAAACTCTAATGTCGTTAGCCCAAATACTGCACTGGTGTTCGCAAATATATTGGAAAAAGTAGTAATGGAATATTTCACAGGATGGTATGCGGGGACAGATTTGAATGGCAGGGCTTTCACCTGGATTCTGGATACACAGAGCAGGTTTAAAAAACGTGGCAGAACAAGAAACTGAAGACCAGACTGAATGCAAGTGTGGCTGGTGTTACGATGCCCAGTCTAGGGTTGGGAATCGCCAGAAAGGTAGAGGAGAGGGAGAGGGGAAGACGAGACAAGCAGGGAACGGGAAACTTGCGGCACGTAACACTGGTAACAGTAATATAGATAAATCTGGAATACGATGGGTTAAGGCTTGAGAATCATACCATCTGTTTGCATGAAGTAAATGCTGTCAGAGCTATGAAAACTGCTTCCTATTCCAATTAGGAAATAACTGTCAGATACAAATGCTGATTATGTGGAAGACTTCAGTAATCTGCAGAATTAATCATCCATAAATGTGTTTTGCTTGTGTCCTCATTGTTAAACGCTGGTTTAATCCATTTACTCATTCCTTGTCAGCTTGTATTATCCGACTGGCATTAATATTTAAGTCTAGCTTCTTCTACAGCAACCTAAGGAGTCCTGTCATGTTAGATTTGTATCATATGTTAAAACACACACAACATCACCAAAAGAGTTTAGCAATGAATTCCAAATGTATAAGATATAAATTTCCTTTTCCTCTTCCAGTTTTTTCCATTGATAATTTGCTAAAATGTTTTATATTGGTGACAATCAGTCCACTATTTGTTTTCTACATCACCTGGTATAAGCAAGTATATGCATATTTTCAGTTTCCCTACCAGGCATTACAGTTTTTCTCGATTGCTAAGAAACATTCCTGGAAAGCTGCTCTCCTTTTCCCTAAACTGTGAACACAAAACCCAATTTTCAAGCTACATTCACAAAACCTCTGACTCTTCTTGCAAAACCAAGCTTTCACCCCAAAACAGTTCAATCTGTGCTCAAAACTGAACTATGCTGTCAAATCATGCCTCAAATCAATCTAAATTAAATACTTTACTGAGTAGTCACTAAACACTACATAGAAAAAAGGAAAACACAATGCTCAGGACATGAAGCGGTAGAAATAAATGTTTATTTAGGCTAAATGCATGTTGCAAAACTAAATACCTGGGCATTTTTAACACTTGTACATAGAAAAAAGAATTTGCAAAAAAACAAAAATCCTGTGCATTTATATGTAGGACTTGTACGTAAAAATGAAGCACAAAAATATACAAATGATGTATAAAGAAAAGAAGTGCGTTACTCCGCCACAGCATCATTTCTCCGTACTGGGTCAGGCCACAGTACTTCATTTACATCACAGGCCACATTTTCTCTGGCCAGGCAACGGGGGAAAAAACCCCTGGCATGCTGTATTCAGGCTTGACATGCCTCCACACCCATGTCACCACAGGCCAGTTCCATGGCTTGCAGGAGATTTACCCTGGTGTAAAGTTGGCGTTCATATACCTTCCACCGCCATGAGGAGAAGAATTCTTCAATGGGGTTCATGAAAGGGGAGTACGGTGGAAGGCAAAGATTCATATTGAACCACTCTCTAACCTGGAGGTCTCTGTGAAAACTCACATTGTCCCAAACAACAACATAGATGAGCTGCTCATCCTGCTGCCCTAACAGAGCATCTCGCATGTGACTGAGGAAAATGAGGAGCTGGTGAGTGTTGTAGGGCCCTAGGTTGGCATGATGGTGGACAACACCATGATTGCTGATGGCAGCACACAATGTGACATTGCCACCACGCTGCCCAGGGACACCAACAATGGCCCGTTGGCCAATCACACTACGGCCTCTCCTTCTCCTTTTGGTGAGATTAAACCCAGCTTCATCCATGTAGATGTATTCATGGAGTTTTTCCATTGCATCCAGTTCAAAAACTCTCTGTAGAAATAGATATATATTTTTGTAAGTGATGTAGGCCAACTACAGTACTGTAAATCACTACTTACAGTAACCAACATTTATG